CAGATTATAGAGAGAAGGCAGCCACAGCTGCAGAGTTTCTCGACTCTCAACCCATGTTTCAGCCAAAACTAGTAATCAGGCAGTAATCTGATTTAAGATCCCACCCTCAACACCCTAGAGACCGTGGTGGGTTTGCCTCCCCAGTTGTTATGCTGCCTCACAAATTCAATCTCAACCCAAGCAACAGGGTTGGATTCCATGCGTTTGAGTGCAATCATCTGGGTTATATAGACAGTATCTACCTACCAACATTCTCCACCTATTTTAAAATTCCGAGGCATACCATAGTTTTTTTGACCACTTCAGCTATTGCTTGAAAACTCCAAGGAACTTTCTAAAAAAAAACGGATATTCTCACAGAAAAAAAGGAAATTGAATTACAGTTTTGCCAGCTTGCCACAATTAACATATAAATAAAAATCTATTGACCAGACCCTTCTGCACCCCACTTGCAATAACTCAGCACCCTCAAAGGGTGACTGGACTGCAGTTTGGGAGCTGCTTTTAAAGGAACTCGAGTTTGAAACCCAATAATCGTCAAGAATCTAACTTCTCTTCAAATTCAGTGAGAACTATCTTTTATTTACGTAGCCCCATACTGTACGAACATCAGATTTGCTTTTCTGCACTGCTGGTGTTTTTCAGAATCCTTACAGACTTCAGTCAAGCTCTCGTATTCAGTTCCTCCTCCGGTCCAAAACAATCCAGATGAAAGTTAATTAGTGACACTCTGTTGACTGTACGTTTATGTGTTACAAACTCTGTGGGAACTCAGCCTGCTTTTCATTCAGGATCCACTTGAATCTCCTTCACGGGTGTTCCAAAATCAGATCAAGTTGTGGCACATTTATCGACAATGCAAGACATGGATATGACCACTTTTTACCCTATTTGTGCTGGTACTTTAAAAGTGTGAAGACCAGTTGGCCGGTACCAGCTGTTACTGCGGACTGGTAATACCGCACCATCGTTGAAGGATCATTAACTTATTGTTTTGAAACATTACCAGATGATCTTTTAATGACAAAAGTAAAGGGATATGACTGGATTCTTATCGAATGAAGTTAATTAGTAAAACTGAAGGACAGTTTCATGTTTCCCACTGTGGCCCGGTACCAAATTACCTACGGACCGGCACTGGTCCCGAGACTGTTGGTTGGGGACCCCTGCTGTAAAAAGCAGTGTTCATTTTTTGAGATCCCAGAACACAATCTTCAGACCATTAGGGTCTTAGTCTTCTTGCTGTAATCTCATGTAAAACGCTAGTACAAGTACTGTAAGACAGGCTAACACCTACTTTTGGAACCTTAAGGACCATCCCAAAGGTCATCAAAGGGCAAAGACGGCAGATTCACTGATCTATCTTTGTCGTGTATACCGCACAGACCGAGCTCTCTCTCAGCTTCTATTGGCTTTGATTTCACACTAATCCCTTCTTCTGGCTCAGTAAAAAACTACAAGACGTAAAGTCAATAAAAGCTGATAGAAAGCAGTTTGCGAGTTTCTGGTGAAACAGATGGACCTGTCAGATCCTTCAGGCTTCGTGTTTTTAGAAGGAGACTTCACACAGTTTTCCAAGGCTTAAACAGTCAGATGGACTGAAAACCAGAGAGGGGATTTTTTTTCCCCCAAATTAAAACCTTTGTATGTGTGTGCACAAACAGAGCCCGGCTTGTTAGAGACAAAGCAAAAGAAGGCCGATGGGGGGGAAAAAGGCAGTTGTGCAAATCCCTGCACTGTCAGGGGTGACACAAGCCAGATGCCGTATCTTGTCTCGTTCTCTTTAGTGTCTCATTTTTTACAGCCTTCTCTCATGGCTGTGTCCCTCCTGTTTAGATCTAATAACTCTTTAAATACCACCGTGTGTATGTGCTGGATTTCCTCAGGGAGGGCTGCGATACAGCAAACTGGGCCAACAGAAGAGGGGAGGGGCAGCGCAGGATGTTAGCTTTGACCTGGCTGGAACCGCAGGAGGCTTTTTATAGTGACATTAACCTCAGGATGTGGCTTTCTAACGGCACTGCGTCTGTTTTACCGAATTTGGAAAGTTCAGTTGAGTTGACCACCGTGTCAGAGTTGTAAGCAAAAACAACGGAAGGGGGAGGTGCGCAGAGTTTGGTAGCCTTGTCCACCTAAATGGACATGGGTGGGCTATGATTTCTGAAAATGTATAGATATGTCATTTATTGATATCTGCACAAGAACTGTTTGGAAATACTTAGATAATTGTTTTCATCGTGTTATAATAATTGACAGACGCCATCATTTTGCTCTGTGCATGTCCTCGCACAGACAACACAGGAGCTCAGCTTCAAGGCTGAGACACGAACGTCAGTCCACTTTAAGAAAAAAACAAACCAGCTCAAGACGTGTACAGCGATGAAATAACTTGTTGCAGGCAGGTGCGGCTAATTTATGGATTTTTACGGGCTAATGAATGACTTTTCTGGTAGGCTACAGTGTGTTATACTAGTAGCGTATGTCTGTCTGTGAATGGCTGTGTTCGTATATGTGCATGGGGCGCGGGAGAGAGAGAGAACGGTAGCTAAAGATGAGAGCAGTTTGAGCCCTGTCATGTTGAAGAGTGAGTTGGTTATACAGGGGCTGTTAAAACTCTGTTTATGTTCTGTTGTGGTCGGAGTGGCTGATAATAAAGACCCCAACTTCACTGTTTCTGTTTACCTCTGCTGTGGACAAGGGAGTTAGCCCCAGAGCTAATGTTAGCTTCAGACCTGGAGCAGATCACTAAGTCTCCCCTGTTCATTCTAACTACAGTCATGGCGCCAAAGCAAGAAAGAGCTAATGTGTAACCAGCCGTGTTACAGGCACTATTGGACGTCTGCGGCTTATAGAGAAGTGCGGCCTATATATGTACAATTATTATTTCTTTTTAAATTTAGTGGCTGCGCCAAGTTTGCCTTCATCTTCCGTTTTCTATTTTTGTAAAATGCTGCCACACCGTTGATGTCTTTGACATGGTAGAGGAGGACATGTGAGGACTGTCTGTCTCCCTCCCCTCCTGCTGTGTGGGTTAATCAGTGTGATCACACTCACCTGTGTCTCTGTCATTAGTCACACTCGTGTCACCTGTTGCCCTGTGTATATATATACCTCTCACCCTCACTGTGTCTTGGTGGGATCTTTGTGATTGTGTGATGGTTTCTTGGTCTGACGGTACTTGTTCTTGTGTTCCTTGTTTCTGCGTTCCTGTCACCCAGTGAGTTTTGTTTGAAGTTTAATGAATAAACTTTAAGCTTTAAGCGTGTCTCCCAAGTCATGGACGTGGGTCCTTCCTGCTGCCCCATATGGCCAAACCAAACAGGACCGACTGTACATGAAATGCTCAAACTTAAAGAAATATTCAGTGAACCACTGGACCTCATCTGTCTGTCTGTGGGTTGGGCTAACTCAGTGGTTCTCTATTATTTTCTGTCATGCCCCTCCTTAGGAACAGAAATGTTTTCAAACCCCCCTCCCCCTTTATCCACAACCCCACAAATTGAAACTATAGAGAACCTGATAACATGTATATTTTCATCTGTACAAACCACTGTATGAGTTGCTGCCACCTAGTGACTGGAGGCTTGTTATCATTCAAGCATTACAGCAGTGCTACACTTATGCCATATTCCATTGGAAGCCTCTCACGCCCCCGCCTGGCGCCTCACCACGCCTGCCACACTATTAGCTGGTTAGCTGCTAATCCAATATAGTTAAAACAAGGTGTCGCGTTCTGAAGACAGACCTTTTCCTGCGAAACAGGGGTGCTCTGAAAACGCCCTTGGTACTTTCCTTATGATCAATACGCCAAAGAATCGACCAATCAGATTTTGGTCTATTGACCAATTGACTGGGAGCTTACAGTCCTACACGAATGTAATGATTTTGTTGTTTGTAAGTCAGTGGTGCAGGAAACAGATTTTAGGTTCCTTGAACAAAGCTTCAGAAACTTTGTGTAATTACAAAGTGTGTATATTTGTGTGCATTGAGGCGAGTTTAGATCTGGCTGGACCCTCAGGAGGCTTTTTATAGTGACACTTACCCACAAAACAAGTGTTACTAATAGACTGCATATTGAAAATACCAGATACCAAATACCAAAAGTTGATCAGTACTATAAGTGAAAATGAGGAATAATTAACCAGTATTTGTCCTGCAGTGACAATGTCACTCAAATAAGAAATTAATAAATATTGAAAAATAATTCTAAGAAAAATAATTATTCAATATATGATATCAATATATAATAATAATAATGCATAATCATGCAATATTACATGCAAATATATTCAATGTTGAGATTAAATATATGATTAATAAATAACAATATTAAATACATATATAATAGATTCAATGTTGAGATTAAATATATGACTAATAAATAATAACAATATTAAATACATATATAATAGTAATAATAGTAACTATAAATATATTAAATATATTATAAGCTCTCTTTTATCGTCAGTCAGAAGTCAGGTTATTATGTTTCGTTGTCCAAAGCAATGCAGATGAAGACAGTTCATTAGTGACACTCTAGTGACTGTACACGCTCGTCTTGGTCTGTCTGGCCATGTGGTCAATCTGTGCCGTGCGGCTGAGTTTCATTCAGATACGACCATTTGATCAGTAAAACATTGGGAAGGAAAGGTAGCCTTTTGAACTGTCAGCAGGTTTTTGTATCCACAGCTCACGGCTCCACGGTGATGACCAGCTGCTTTTGATTGCGGGCGTTTGCCGTTAGCTGCCGGGCAGGTGCCGGACTGTGGGTTTATCTGATCTTTTTCCACAGGAAACAGCTGTCCGTTGTGTATAGAGATGCAGATAAGGACGTGAAGACAAAACAGTGACCCAAATGGTCTGAACTGAATCGAGCACTTAGAGCAGCACCTGTCACATCAGTCAGCTAGCTCACACACACATCCTCGTCCTACTGAAGACACTGATGAAAGAGTGACCAAGACCTGAGATCTTTAATGAGATAATCGTCCCATTACCTGGTCCCTGGTCCAACTGTCTCAAAGTAGATAGAGGCTTATCACTCTGGTAAAAAACTTTTAGTAAAATCAATCATCGCAAGCCTTACAAACATCCGAAAAAAAAAATCACAAATGTTTCGAGGCCTATCGTATTTTGTGTTTCTCAACATCTAAAATCTCCAACCAATCAAATCATTTTTTGTGTGTGTTTTTCTTTTGTTGCTGTTTCTTTTCAGAGAGTGTGACGTCAGTCAGATCAACTACATGTACGCCCAGTATGTCAAAAACACCATGCAGCCTCTCAACATTGCAGACGTCACCAAGGACCAACGATTCCCCTGGACAGTCAGTATACTGTGCATTTTTATATTTATATATAAGGTTTTTAATCCTTATATATACTATCCTTATATATACTATATATATATATATATATATAAATATATAAATATATATTTATATATATACATATATAATAATATTTACATATATAAATCAGATTAACTTATACTTTTATTTTTTTGTTTTTATTTTTTTATTATGATATGTATGGCATGACTTTTTATTGACCACATGCATTCATGAGTATATGAGTTTCTAAAATCTGAATATAAGCTGCGGCTCAATTTCTACAAAAATATGGGAGTTCATCACCATTCTCTGGGGCAGTTGTGGCTTGGTGGTTAAGGAAGCAGACTTGGGACCTGCTTGGGTAGGTTTCAGGTTTTTAGAGTCCACCAGCTGCCAAGTTACCACTGAGGTGCTCTGAGCAAGGCACCATCTCCACACACCGCTCCCTTAGAGCTGCCCACTGTTCATTTTAGTGATTGGTTAAAAGCAGAGGACACATGTCTTTGTGTGCAGTGGTGTGCTGTGTCACGATGACAAATAATTTACTCTCACTTCTTCTCCTCAGAGTGAAAACCCAGATCACACCAGCAACCAGATAAAAAGTTTGCTCTGCACGCCCATCAGGAACGGGAAGAAGGACAAGGTCATAGGTACAAGACATTCCCTTCAACTTTTTAAATTAAAAGTTTTAAATCTCCGAACATGTTGTAGCTATTTTTACCTTGTGACAAAGCTACCAGATCGTAACAAGAGCTTTAATTATAAAAGCTATGCATTTTTGGTCAAATGTTTGATTTTTAAACATACCACTCACTGTTAAACAACTTAAGGAGGTACATGTAAATGTCAGTACATGAAAATGCAGATTTAACCTTTAAATTGAAATAACTGCTGTAATTCGTATTTGGTGTCTGTTCTATGAGGTCATCGCCATCCCCAAAAAACATACAATTGCCATTCAAGAATATTTATAAGTATTTGGAATTTCTTTTGCTTTATCTGATCACTAACTAAAAGTTTTACTTTTTCTTTTAATGGGGAAAAATGTACCTCAGCCTTTAAAGAATCCGTAGAGCATTACGTTTTTCATACACAACGCTGAAAACACTTTCATCCGTCCATGAAGGGTCCCTCCATTTCATCCATCACACTGATTATCGCAGGCATAATTAGCTGATAGGAGCTCTATTAGCAGGCTATGAATACACCCAATGACCATGCATGGCCCTCACTGATCAAACAGGGCTGGCAATCCAAGCCTTGAAGAGCCCCACTGATGAGCTTACATCAAAACACCTCCATTCATTACCGCTCCAATGCTCCTCTCACCTCAGTCTCCTGTCCCCTTGTCCTTGTGAGACAAAGGTTTTTATTTATCTCATACAAAAAGCATTAAAAAAAACCAAAAAAAAAAACCCACTATACAGTCTTTGAATGACGTAACGCAGGATTCACAAAGTCTGAGTATATTTTCACATCCTCGTTCCCCCGCATTTATGGTGAGTTCATGCAGTGTTGGACAAAGTCAATGCGTCCCGTGCAGGGTTTGTGTATGTCTGCCTGCTAAAAATACAATTTGTTCCAGTTTATGTGGCGTGAAGTTTATTGGGATGTCCACATCCATGAAAAATGACGTAACTGACACCGCAACTGTTTTTTTTCCTGTCTCCTCATAGGTGTGTGTCAGTTGGCGAACAAGATGGATGAAGCATCGGGCAGCGTGAAGGCCTTCAACAGAAACGACGAGCAGTTCTTGGAGGCGTTCGCCATCTTCTGCGGTCTTGGCATCCAGAATACACAGATGTACGAGACTGTGGAGAGAGCCATGGCAAAGCAGGAAGTTACACTAGAGGTCAGAGATTTTCTTCTTTTTTTTTTGTACACTCATGTACAGACACACAGAATCCAGCACCAGAGACTCACTTAATCTAAAATGAAAGCTAGGATTATGACTGCATTTTAAAAAAATGATTTGGTCAGTAAATACTATAATGACATTGAGCTTGATGCCAATATTTCTTGGCAACAGCAGCTGGAACACCAAAGAAAACATTTTACATTGTGAACACACGGTGGAAGAGTGGTTAGTTCTCTTGCCCTTCAGCTTAAAGAAACCCTAAACTCATATGAGACACATCAGTGTCCAGTGTTCAATATGAATTCAGCTTAAAGACCTCCTAAACTCATATGAGACACTCACATCAGTGTCCAGTGTTCAATATGAAAAATTTGTTTTGTTGTTTTTTTTTTTTGTTTTAAAAAAGATCATGTTGTTGAATGCTAAATACTTAAAAAACAGAAAACAAAGGAACCACATACTTGACACCTCCAAAGTGCAGTCTGGGATCAATAAAGTTCATAAAAAAAAAAATAAAAAAAAATAAATATTGCAAACAGCTACTACTGATATTTTTGCTCATTTTAAAATGACCCGCTAAAGCAGCANTGTTAAACTCATTTGGTTTCACCGTCACATACAGCATGATTAGATGTCAGTTGGGCCAGCCCAGTACAATTATGACATAATTACCTATAAATAACAATTAGTCCATGTTTTTCCCAGATGTTTTCATGCAAAGAAGTATATCAGAAAATATTTATATTTAATGAAATATTATTTGAAAAAATATCACCAACATGAAGTGTTTGTGTATTTTTTCACTTTGAAAAATTTATCAAGCGGACCGGAGTGTACTCCCTAGTGGGCTGATTTTGGCCCGTGCGCCCTATATTTGACACCCCTGAGCTAAAGCATTTTAATAATTGAAAAAAAAAATGGAAATGAATTCAAATAATATAAAAAAAACTTCACAGCTAAAATTGTAATTGACACATGGCAAAGCCACTACTCTAAAGTGATCACATGTATGAATGTGATTTTGAAAGGTTGTTTGCCTCTATATTTACACAAAAAACAGCAGTATTACAGCAAAAAAAAATTCTTTAAAACTTATTTCTACTGCTCCAGCTTTTGGTCCACTTTGTAGAAACCGCCTTATTTAAGTAACATTTTCAGATCCTCAAAAGTACATCACTAATGTAGCGCACTGTAGCACATATTGTTTTGAACAAAACTTAAATGACAGCATGAACAATCTTTTCTTCTTAAAGATTTCTAATGACCTATTTTGCCATTCGTGGTCATAATAACTTAAGAACCAGTCACCAGAATTATCTGACCAAATGTCGGCGGACATAGTCGTTTGTCACGCCCCTAAAAATGAGTCAAATTGTCACCTGATCTAAAAAAAAAAATCAGGTAATTATTATAGCCAATTGTAGATGAAATACTACAACTTACAGCCAATTGTAGATGAAATACTACAACTCAACTCTTTAATAGCAGAGGAGTATATGAAGAAGTAGGTGCATGACAGCGTGTGAGGTTGTTGTCTGTGGGCGGGTTAAAGATGGTGATGGGTAGAGACAGATGGAATTTTTTTTTTTCTTTCCATCCACGTTGACACGTTTTTTTTTCTGCTACAGTATGTGACGGCCCTCGAGGCTTAATAATGTAACCCACACACATGCATGCCCACAACTCTATTAACACGCCTCAGGTTACACACACGAACACACTTGACTACACACTGTGCACTCTTGCAGTTCTAGCGTGGGGCAGTCGGCCTAAGTGTGTCAGAGGTGACATGTTCCCTCACCTGCATCTGTCACTCGCCTCCACTGTCACTTCACACATGGATTCCAGGTAGAGCTGGCACTGATCACAGGTTTATAATGTTAGAGCAAATGTGTCAAACTCAAGGCCCGGAGGCCCAATGCAAAAACATTATAAAATAATTAGCCCTTCAAGCCGTATTGTATTGCTGATATGAAAACGAGTTTGATACTCCTGAGTATTTTTGAACAGGCTTATGTAAGTTATTAATGTTATACATTAGCCCTCAGGTTACGACAACATTGAGCTTTAACATTGACTTTAAATAGTTTGGAGTAGTATCCAAAGTATATGTACAGTATATATCTGTGTATATGTATATACAGTGTTCCCTCTCTATATCCTTTCGCTCCCCTCAGTACATCCCAGATTTTTTTTTGTTAATCCAATCTCCCGATGTTGCAAAATATAGCAAAAAAAAAACAACTAAAAACCATTATAAAATAATTATACATATGAAATCGCAAAATATAGCAAAAAAAAACAACTAAAAAACATTATAAAATAATTATACATATGAAATTTTGGGCATTGAAAATGTGGATTCACATATGTAAGTACTATAAATATAGGTATAATATAAATCTATAAATACATACATGTAGATAAATATTGATAATATATGTATTTATATGTGTATATATACATTCCCACTTGTGCACACAGGTAGGGCAGAACACAGATGGAGCACATCAGGTAATCACAAGGAAAGGAAAAACACAGGGGAACTGCAGGAAGTGCAGGTGGTTGGTCTAATTAGAGAGGGACTAACAGGAGGGAAGAGCAGAGCAGACCTGACAACTTTGATTATTTCGTGTTAAGTTGAACCCTTATCATGCAGCTGCCATTTCCTGGCCTACAGGTGGTAGTAAGTATGCATTAAGAAGCCACAAATCTGTGAAAATTATCAAAAACTTTTCCCGCCAGAAATGCACATCATTTCTGACATGTAGCACAAAGCTAGGACGTGTCTCTAGCCTGAGCTCCAAACAGTTTATGGATACTGCGGTATCTACAAAAGCACTGAGGTACTATGGCCAAGAAATATGTTTAATAAATAGATAAAAACTCTAGCCCCATCTGCCTCAGAGCCTCTAGCTACTACCGCCAGCCGGCAGAGGCTAAAAATAGCTGTGGGGATTTTTGTGGACTTTTTCACTTCCAACTAATATGTGTCGCATATGAAACGTGATTACATTACTTTTATTAATTTATATCACAGAACTCTCCTCCAATAATGTTAAAATGAAATAGAAGGGAAATTCTTTATTTTTGCAGTCTTTACCAAGGCTAGGCCATGCTAACTTTGCTAACCCCCATAGCCTCATGCTTTACCAGCAGATGGACATTTTGTCTGCCTACCTATGTTATACTTATGTTATTCTATAATATATGTTATATGTTATTCTGTTATCTACAGTGCACCATATACAGTAAACCTTGTCAATAGGACCAAATATAGAAGTTACTTCATTTATAAATATTTAATGGATGGATTTTTTTGGACCATAAATGTTTGGTAAATTTTTGGTTTCAAATTTTAAAAAAGGGTTTCTATTTTAATTAATCAGTGATTAATTAATTATCATGCAGTATTTTAAATAAACACTACTGTCTGATTTACTTTCAGAGTATTAAAGAAATGAAATCCTGAGATGTCTTAGACACAACCACAAAAACAGTTGTCATGGTTTTAATGAGTGAGACTAATTATTTGAAAAGTTCACAATAAAAATGATCTAAGGAAATTTAGTATTTAGTGTATTTAATGTATTTAGTCGCACTGAACGCTGCATGTCTGTTTCTTTGTATTTGCGTCCTCCGAATGACCTAACGTGCCATGTGTTGCAGGTGCTGTCGTACCACGCCTCTGCCACAGAGGAAGAAACCCGGGAACTCCAGGTAACCGCGGTAAATTAACATTCATTGGCTTAGAAATACACACATCTTCACTAACACCAAAGGTAAATGAATTATTCAGCACACCATCACGCACACAATCACATCTTGACCTTCGGGGGTCAGAGGAAGCGGTGCGTTTGATGCGGTCTTGTAACACAACACCGTGCTGAATCAGCAACAGAACAGGCAGCTTACTCCTACTCAGTCCAACGTGTATATTTTGCATGCCATTCATTGGCCAGGCAGCCTGTTCATGTATAATTAACAGCTGCAGTGATATTAAATTGTATTTATACTGGATTCCAGTTAGCCTTTAATAGCTGATTCACCCTAATAACATAGTATTACAATCCAACAACTTTGTATTTTTTATCAGTTACCTTTATAGTATTTAGCATGAAAACCTTGTTTTTTCAGCTATATTTTTGCCATTGGACCATTGACATTTATCAAGTAGCTAAGCTGTGAAGAAAATATGGCAGATTCGTTTGGATGCTTTTGTAACAAACCTTCGTAGGTATGTTATGTAAACAGCTCCAAATCTCCAGGACCTTCAGCTCTTTACGTTTTTGCACAGCTCGTAGGGTGACCGAGCAGCTAGCGTCAACACCATTTCAAAACACCTGTAAAATCTCACATGTTGGGGCATGAAACAGTTATAATACACGTTTTTCATGTTTTTGGTGATGTTGGTGATTATCCTGTTTGTGTGCAATCAGCAAAGTCCTGCTTCAGAGGGATGTTAGGCCTGGCACCAAATGATCCACTCAGCAGGTTTTGTTCCATTCTCCTTTGGCGGTAAAGTGGCTAAAGTAACCTGATTAAGTGGCCTCCCCCCTGGGCTCTAAAGATGAACTTGGTATCTAGGACACAAGCTCGATTATTTTCATATGTCCTTAGAGAGTGTAATGGCATATAGTACTTCACAGTGTAGTGCTCTCAGAAGCAAGCTTTAGCATCAATTTTGTTCTATTTGTTTTGCACCAGTAAACACCAGCAAGAACAAGTATTTTTTTTTTTTGGTTTTGGATATATCTCAGACCTAATCACTATTTGGTTAAGAAACTTATAACCATAACAAAAAAACCTGATATACAGTATGTGTGATACGTACGCCGATGATGCAATTTAATATGTGTGTGTATGCTTCTGTGTTTGCAGCGCCACTATGTTTTTTCTATCATTAATTTGTGTGTTTTGTGTGTGATTTATAGGTATCCACAGTCCCTTCTGCCCAGTCATTGCGACTCCTGGATTTCAGCTTCAGTGATTTTGACCTGTCAGACACTGAGACAACGTTGGGCACGATTCGAATGTTTGTGGACCTTAACCTGGTGCAGAACTTTCAGATGAAGTACACGGTAAGAACAAAAAAATTGGAAATTCTAATTTTACGGGTATAATACTGAGCACAGGACTTATTACTGTTATCTTGTATTAAATTGTCTTTAGTAACAAAAAGTAACAATTTATTCATAATGAGGCAATAAGCCTTAGTTTTGATACAGTGGAAGCTGGAGTTTTAAATGATGTTTTCCTGTTTGCCTCGCAAATAAGATCTGCTAAGAGCATTGGCATTCTTGAGCACAAAATGACTGCTTAGAAAAAGTATTGAATATGTTGTTATTATTATTAGCCTACATCTGTTACCGCTGCTAGCAAGCAAGTTCTTACTGAACATCTGTGTTTATTAGTTGATGCTTTTTGTAAACATTCCAACAGAGCTGTCAGTGAAATGTTCTAATGAAATGCTGCTCACAGAATTAATCAGTCAGACTACACTCAGAATTGCGGTAATACCTCCATCCGGGAGAATTATTCTCATCCTTTGAGTCGCACGTGTCTGTCATCAACTCTCGCGGAGGGCAGAAGGGTAAAGATGAACTCTTCCTGGCACAGGGAACGTGATTGACAGACTCGGGAGTGTTTGTGCAGACAAAGTCTGGGTTACATTACCAAAAAACAACCTTCAGGGCCTTTGTTTTGGAGGCATATCATGGCAACATCCAAACCCACAAAAAGTTACAGCTGACAACATCACAACACACCAGCATCACTTTGCTCTGGTTCACGGTACGTCATGGAAAAAGACGAGTGAATTCTGTCTCTACTGCAGCCAGGACAATATATGTCAGTGTGTCCGTGTTGGTGCGTGTCATCGTTAGGCTGTGAGGCCAAATGTGGTGTTATGATGAGGAGGATTTTGATAGTAATTGTGTTTTACAGCGTCAGATTTTACAGGCAGAATGATTATTTGAGGGTTGTGGGCAATGTCCACTCTAATTTTTCACGTGTCTGGGCATAGACACAAGCTCTCTGCAGACACGGAGGATCACTGTGATCAACATCAGAAGTACACGCTGTGGCCTCACACTGGTATCACACCTTGGATCTTATCTTATTAGTTTACTTTTAATATAAGTCATTTTCTTAAAATGAAAAAGACAAAAGTCTTGTCTGTTCATCAGATGTGCAGCGTCCTGCATTTGGCCTCTAGGTGAAGTCCAGTTGTGGTGTTGGCGAGAGTCTTGCCCTAGAGGAAGGATAAGACATATGCACCTGACATTACACTTTGTAAACATTAAAACATCCATTAATGAAAAATCTTAATCTTAATGTCACTAGAAAATGCACAAAATCTAACTTAAGTTTTACCTTAATTTTCATATCTGTTGATGGCAAACTCGCTTGCTGTTTTGTTACTACTACTTTGTTTTTCAAAGTAGACCTGTCTTACTCCATCCATCCATCCATTTTCATCCGCTTATCCGTTACCGGGTTGCGGGGGCAGCAATCTCCACCCAAATCACACTGCACCGTACCAAACCTTCCTGCAGGTGGTGAGTCCACTGGAAGATACCAACCACCCTAACTGGGATTCGATCTTGTCCAGGAGGTGAACCCTGGAGTTCCACACCAATGACAGAGACATTGGCTCTGGGCCAAAGCGCCACCCTTTCTTACTCTTTTTAAAAACAAAAAAAAAATCTCAACCAGCTCCACTACTTGTTCTTCTGTTTGCACTTACTCCTACGGCCATTCCATCTCAAAAGAACCGCAATTCTTTTTTACTTTGACTCGGTGAGTGGACGTGTCACCGCCAGATCGTTTCGCCATGATAAGGGGTTAGCATTACGTCTTTTCACCGTTGTTACCAAGCTAACCTGCACAGCGCGCATGGGCAGGGTACATATGCGAGCGCTGTCAACGGTATGATTGGCTGCGTAGCGTACCATTGGCTCGCACTCAGTGAGAAACATCATTGTCGGCTCAATAGTTAATCAGTTCAATACCTACAGCGCAGTTTATGTTGAATTTTATTTTACGCGCTGCACAGATTTTCTTGTGTGCTGAGAATGTTTGAGCAGTGCGCGTTTGCGCACGAGCACAGTTGAGAGGGAACATTGGGTGAGAGTGTGAACGACTCGCAAATGATGAGCAAATACATTTACAGCTGAGTTAATGTATGTGTATTAGCCCTCATCTTTGGAGGAGACCACACACACACACACACACGGTACTTTCAAACACCTCCCTTCTTTCTAAAACCTCACACAAACTTCCCTTCGTCATCACCGCCAGTCACCCCTGCCACCACGTTAACCCTGCTCACCGCCCGCCGCAAATATCGCCCGCTTGGGCGAACGCTAGGGTTCACCTCACGTTGGCAGCGTCCCGCTCCGTGTGAAGAGGTCCTTGTGTGTTGGCGGCTGACCTCAGGAGTGCCTGCGGAGAGAGGTCTCATGAAGGGAGGCTTTAATTCCAGGTGATTGGCTTCCTGCCGCCGCCGGGCCTGGCGTTTTTG